TGAATTATTAGAAAGACCTCTTCTAAACATCCTTGTATAATCGTATGACCCAAAGGTAAACAATAAATAAAAAAACAACAATAATAGGAAATAATTTGACCGTTATGGTGATACGGTCCGGTGACGTCTTTAATAGTAAGTTAATACAGAGTGCATCCTCTCTCATACTGAGTAATAGCTACGTAAAATGCACGTGTACTCGTACATATTATATTGTCATATATATTCTAATATATGCTATCATAATATTAACAGTTGCCGTTCTCCCGTTTAAAATACATAATTATATATCTACGTAAATTTTGTACTTCATCCATATTTATAATTAATTATTGCCAATTATTAGATTATGTGTATCGTTAGGTATATTTGCAAATGTATTTAATTTTATTGTTGCCCAGGATTGTTAAGTATATATGTAATCGTGAAAGTTTAGGATAGTAAGCAATTTATTATAGAATAAAAGAAACAATCAAAACAATGTGTGATTCGTTGTTTTATACGTAGTATATAAAACGTCAATTATTATAATAATATAAAAACAAGTCAACCACATAGGTACAATTAATAAAAAATGACACTGTGCCATTACATTTTTCATTGAATATATCGAATATGGCGCGTATACTGTATAGTAAATAATAGGTAGTTATGTAGGTACAGGTATGAAATAATATTATGTTTTCACTTCAGAAGTAGGTAACCACCTGGTGTATTTTACTTTTTTATGTAAGTATAAAAAATTATAAATTTAATATTTTCATTAAATTTTTATTTAGTTTTTTAATATTTGAAATTTATGTTTTTTTTAAATCTTTAGATTTTTATAATATCTATTTGATAGATACCGTGCTTGGCGATTAGGTTTTATGATATATTTAAGAAAGAAACGAATAAAGATATTATTTTACAAAAAAAAAAGATTAATTAATTAATAATTTTAATCAATAAATCAATCCTTCTAAATAAATTAACCGTGATAATAAATGAGGTACCATTTCAAAATTTGAGGGTAATCAACTTAGATTTTATATACACCATACCAATAAGATTTTACCTGAGCAAAACAGGTAGGTAACTGACTATAAACCTTTTTTCAAAAAGCCAACGTTCGTATAATCGTGGTATATGCCGATTACGTATTGTATTATATTTATAACCTAAAAATATGATGACACTCGTTTTGGGTTTAAATGGGCGTATTCATTTGTCTGACGCGTAAAAAACCTTAGTCAGCCCCGCAAGTAATAAATCAAATGTGCATCGTTTTCGTTCACAGCGTGTAAATGTTCTTTTCGTTTGGTCTTTAAAAAAAAGATAGAAAGAACTTGAAATAGTCAAAGTGTATTGTGCTTACGTAAATATTATTTTGATATTCCACTAATCTCTGCGAAATCGTGTTCAGCAAGCGAAATACATCACTACCGCATCTATCTGATTCTTGTATAACTTGAAAATGTTTAATAATATATGTATTATACACCTATATTAACGCTCTGATACGGTTGCAACGTGTTATGAAGTAGTTGCATTCGTAATCGTTTTTGGCGCGTGACGCACTATGATGTATGAGTATGTAAAGTACGCAGATCGATATATATATATAAATATATAAGTAGACTTGCTAAACGAAACTAAACGTGGAACTGACCGAAAATGCGGTTCGCGACGAAAATATAATAATTATTATTATTATTCAATATACAATGTCGATGAAGACGACAACTTTACTGCTATTGACATAAGAAGTATATTTCACTGTAGCTAATATAAAATACAATATTACTAATAATAACATATACAAATCATGGGAATTAACTGATGACGACGAGATCTCGAATGTAAAAATAGTAAACCACAAATCACAAGTTGCTTAATAGCATTATATACCTGTCTAAACGGTAATATATCACAACGATATAATACGTAAATACGTTGTCTACATCAGGCGAACGGCGGAATTTGCGTATTTTGATATACCTAGGTATGTATATAATAAATCGCGTATTGAGCAATATATATATATATATAATGTAATACGTGATAATGGACACTGCTGAAATAAATGACTGCTGTAGCGGTTAACCTTTATCTATCTATCTGTTTACCGTATAACACTTAAATGTCGTTGTACAGCGTTACAGTAACAGTTGCATACAACTTGTGAGCTGGAAATTTCGCCAGAAATCGAGTCACCGTGTACGCCTCGAGACAGTGATGCTGTACTCGCAATAGATACACAACCGTATCAACTAAACTTTATGCACGTCGAAATTATGTTATAATATATACCCATATATATATAGGAATTTATGAGCCGACGAGGTATCTTGCTGTGAATGCGCGAGCAGCATAATGAAGGTCGTCAAACCTGGTTTCGTCGTTTCGTCTCTACACCAGAGAAACTCATTAATTAGATATTCTGATATTCATTTATATTTATACATAGAATACTGTTCTTACGCGTATTATAATACTGCATCACACTTGCCGCGGACGAGTACCCGCTGTAACGATTCCACTATCGCGCCGCCGAGGGTCATCGTATCAAAAACGATTCAACGCAAAATTCAAACAGACGGTTTTTCGTATAATAAAAATGGTATAATAAATATAAATATACTATATAAGAATTTACGAGACACTTATCACGATGTGATGGTATATTATTATACGTACCTACTATCCTATAGTAGTTTACTGCATTTGATTGTATTAGAAAAAAAATTCAACGCACTGTTAAAGTATTATATTGAATAGGTATAAGCCTATAGAAGAAACTTTGTTTCGGCACGAGTGAAGTATGGCTTTGAAACATATCAACGTGACATACGATTCGATTGTGCTGCAGAATGCAGAATTGTGTTCGTTTTAGGTCAGACTAAAACCGCTTGTACTTAATTACCTACTAATATATTATATAGTCGTAAAAACCGGAAATCAATAATAATATATTAATGATATGACGTGTAAGATATGTTAATTTTTGTAAACGTCTCATAAATTATTTTACCTACTAATATAGTACCACCAATACCGTTATTACTTATTGGAAAATAACTATAGTCTTCGTATGAATGAAACATAATATATGCCATTATTTAAAAAACTAATATCATGATTCTGTTTTCTAATTTTATATGGATCTAATTACAATATTTAGAAGATTTGATGTACCTATATATTCTATGCAAATTTCTTATATATTTTTAAAGAGGAGACTATGGTGCTTATATAAGAATTATTCTAGACATATAAACTTTACTCACATTTATATAAGCATTTTGTACTCTAGAGTCTAGACATAACTGTATATATCATTTACATCTACCTTTATATCAACAAAAAAACGTAATTGATATATTGATTTATATTTGGAATATATTGTTTTACTCGTTTCTTGTTACAATATTATTATATTTCAAACGTAACGTTACTCGTCAATAACACCTAATTATAATGTAGGTATTTGTATTTTAAATTGTTTGTTACCTAACAATAGATTTAAAACTATTGGTGTTATTAGAATACTGTATGCTTTTTTAATTTTAATTAATTAATAATATTTATTAAGATTTAATATAAATAGACTTATAGTCTATTGTATTTACGATAAAAATAAAATAAATAATTTCTTAGATTTATAATTCATATTTTTACATATAAATGTAGAGCAATACAACATCGACGTTTAATTCTGTATAATTTTTTAGGTTTATTACAAAACAAACTAATGCAAAGCAGGTGCATTTTATTCTATATAGCATATACCTTCTACATTGAAATTGTGATCGAAGATCAATGTGAAACGAATAAAGAAAAATGTTTGCTATTATATTATAAAATCTTGTTTTCAATCAGAACACTGCACATCTCTAACAATAGGTTGTAAGCCCAATCGAATCGTCCTTTAAAATGCTATAAATAATACATTTCGGCAAAAAGACTCATATCCACATAAGAAAAGTGGCAATAATATTGAAATATTGTATAGTTAAAAGTGATATAAATATATAAAATTTTGGCAATAAATACCGATTTCGATGAGCTAGTCTGTTAGCAAAAGAAACATAAAATGTAATCAGTAGAACAAACTAAATGTTTGTAATATTATATTATATCAGCAACATGCGTTTTGCTTGCGGTTGTTGGAACATATATTTGGAGTATCTATATTATGTTCTCGTTGGATACTATAGATACAGTAGAACGTCGATGACTTTACTAATATTATAATGTAATAAAATACGTTCATAATGTTTATAGAACCGGCCTCCACTTGTGACTTTCAGGCGAAACGACTTCCTGAATGTGTGTACCGTAAGATGATTGTTATATTGTTATTACATTATATACTACGCATATTTAACATTGAAACATACGACTTACAGCACATGGTGATGAAGGCCGAGATTAAGTAAAAACGTTATTTATTATTTGTATCGGTCGGTCATACAACATTGTACAATTATTGTAAAAACACTAACTCTCTGTAGAGATTTGAACGCCCCGTAGCCATCGTGATTAGTGGGTTGAGACATAAATAAAACTAGGGTGGTTGTAGTAAAGAAGGGCTCGTTTGTTAATTCTCAATAATAATTTTTGTAAGAGTAAAATTCAAATTGAAAAATACATTTACCTTTAACAAGTATTATACTCGTATGACAGTCAACACTCGCACATTAAAATATTAAACATAGGTATGATCAATATAAGACGATAACTATCTTACATTGTATAAATACTGCAATAAATTGCTTATAAAATCGGATGCAACCGGAGTAATATTTTTGATTTGATGGAACCTATATTATAATACCTACAAAAGGAAAGACAATTTCCGGGAAAACTTTGATTATAACACCCTTAAAATCGGCGATCCGTATACTTAATATAAAGTATATTTTTACTATACGTGTATATAGTAAAAAAATACACTTGTACCGTGTGAACCAAAAAAAACAAATAGTATTACATTTTAAAATGAGGTAGGTACTCACCACAATTTAAGCAGTCATCCGAGTCGCACATGTCTATAGGGTTCGGATGTATGTTTAGAAACGAAACTCACTGAACGCGCACAACAAGCGTCATTTGTTACACGACCGCACAACGGAATGAACGGCCGCCGCCGGACACACTACCTGCGACGTTATCCTCCCCCCACTATCACTAGTAGTCGACCAATGTTTTAATTTTTTTTTTCTATTATTATTATTCACTACACCACAAACACTCTGTATGTCCACCACCTCCCCGCCCTCGATACCACCATTAACCACTACTTTCTCCTACCCATATATTTATACATATGAGCCACCGTGTCGCTGACTGGAAGAGGTTGGGGTCCCGAATAACAGAATCACCTGCTCTTTTTTTTTTTTTTTTGTTACTATTTGTCTTTGTAGAAATATACCTGTGCTTATTGACTTTTGACCTGTTGCTGCAGCGCTGCACGTGATGAGTGATTATTATACAACAACGATGAACACGACTCCACCGTCGTCATTCGTTTCGTCGTTTAATCGGTAGCCACTATAACCATATAAATACTATACCATTTAGGTATTTTAATATTATTGCTGAACATTATGGGTAGATACATTTATGGCCACTGTGCTTCATATACATGCGTAGGCTTATTGATATTACAATGATAATGTGTATTATTATCGTACATTACGTACACACAGCTGGTGTGTTATTTAAAAAAAAAAATAAAAACAGATTTCGCGCACGTCCACGATTTTCTGACGTTTTCCTCGTTATAATCTCGTCTATAATATACATCGACAAACGCCTACCTCGCATCGAATCACACGTCTCCTTCAATTTACATAAACGAGTATTGCAGAGTATATATCATAGGCTATAGCTTTATTATTTATTATACAACACACCAAGTGCAATTATATACGTATTCTACACGAAATACACGTTTATAATTAATATAATTACATTGGATTATATTATTATATAGTTTTACCGCTACGTTGAATAGAAATTATTCAATCATTTGGTATGTATAACATCAAAATATTAACTACCCACTCATGTTGCAGTCTGCGCAAAACTTGCATAGTCCATAACTCAAAAATAAATTCAATCTATCTGTCTAATTTATTCGAATAACATTTTATGTGAATAATTATACGGAGCACATAACATTGTAATAACGAAATTATAGATTTCGCGTCACTGCTTATTTTAAGATAAATCGATACTTAAAACTAAATTATAATAATATACTATAATTAATAATTAGTATTTTATTTCCAAAAATAATATTTAAATAATGATTACAATATTATACAAATAATATAATACATATTAAGTTATCACTAATCATTAATTATCATCATTAGATGTATAAATTCTATTCAAAACAAAAAATTGATTTATTTCATATTAATTTATTGAAAACATGACAAGCCCAATTTAAATTTCAAATAATAATCTTACTAATAAAAATCAGTTAATTTTAAAAACAACAATTAGCATATAATATACAAGTAAATAAAGTATATTGCATAAAATATAATTTATTTAGTTTCTTATAAAGGCTTTATATATTATTTTAAATACTAGTACAAGGTAACAGTATTATATTTATAATTCTGCACTCTTGAAATATAGGTAAGACTGTATAACAGCTCATAAAATTTAGTGTTTTACTATAATTCTGTGTTTTAATATGAAAATCTATAGTTGGTATGGAAAAAAAATCTGAATCAATTTCAGAAACAATACTTGCATCTTATTTATATGAAATACAGATGAAAAATTATTTTATAATGTCTCAGTAGTTTTCGATAAAAACCAAGTGTCAGTAAAATAAAATAAAACGTAATAATAAGAAACTGTTTAAACAAATATCTTGATCATTTTCTGAAAAATCTTTCTCTAATTTTTAATTACTAGTCTATTATTCTATATTCTTTAACTGACATCAATAGTATTTACTGCAGTTATTCATCTCATATTAAATAGTTCTAGACAAATAAAAACACAATTGTGAAGTATGACTTAATAGAATATATAGGTACACATTTATTTATAAACATATCAAACAAAATATAAACATTAAAATATGCAAGTAAGATGAAAAATTGGTTGATTGATAGACATTAACTTTTGGGTCTTTAATTATCTAAATCTAGGGATTAGATTTTTACTCAACTCAAAGGGAACTATCTTAGTACTGCCCATTCATCATATGCACTTCAAAAAAGAACAGCACTTGACGAAAGTAAATTAAAACTACATTTATCTTTTATATTTATCATTAACATTAAAATCTTTATTTTGACTAAACATAAATATATTATGTTTTACTAACATACTGTTTGAATATATAATAATAACGCTAGGATATCAAGAAACAATATATTTTTAGTGAATACTAAAAATTAAACTATATAGCATGTACAATTATTAAATATAAATTAATCATATTTGTATAATTATAATAGAATATTGCAATATATTATATAGTAAAAATGATTGAAACTAACAATTGTATTCGTCTTATAATATTATTAAATTAGATGAACTTATAATAATAATAATAATAATAATAATAATAATAATAATTACTAATAATAATTCTTTCAAAAATTGCTTTAAAAATAAATTCTATATGTATTATAATGTATTAAACTATTAACTAATAACTAATGAAAATTTGTTTATAAAAAGAGAAAATTATAAATGTGACAAATGATTCCCCCGAAGGCACTCTATAAACGTCTAAGGTACCATTTAATAAGTTCTTAGATAAAAATAATTCTTAACATTTTGAAATAGAATTCGACAGATTAAACGCTTTAATTCGGGCGTAGTGAAAGTAATGAGTGCAATTGAACAAAATTGGACGTGCACAAATTTCAAATTAATAGCTAGGACAAACATCACTGCTATACCCAATGTTATAATCTACGAATAGTGTATAATCTAACATATTAAACTTATTTTTCTTTATTAGCAGCAATTCCACTTGTTAAATTAACAGAGAAATGCGTATAAGTCATTTTTTTGTATATGTGTGTGTGTTTGGTAATACGTAGTATATAAAATATAAGATTGGTATTATATTACCGAAACATAACATTACAATAATACGCTTCATTGAGTTTTATTATAATAAAATAATTATTCAATCGCAAGAAATAATAAGAATCCTTGAAAACAAATTTATTGGTTAGTAAACTATAGCCGTAAAATGTCTTAATTAGTAATTATAAACACTTCTTGGTTTAGCGAATATTAGGCACATACTTAAAAATAAAAATAAAACATTGACACTATTATTTTAATTACAGTTTGGGTAGGGATAATACTTTTGATCACAAAATATACTTATTAATTTATTGTTTTGTTTTTCGTATCATCATAAATATTTTTATAAATTAAACTCCCATGCATTCGCAAAATTGTTATATTTAAAAATAATTCGTGGACAAACAGCTAAAGATAACGGTTACTAGGAACTATTATGTTTATAAAGTCACAGATCAGTTATAAAATAACAACATAATTCAAAATATATACAGTTTTAATGATTAGTATTGTCAGACAAAAGTAAAATAATGTAGAGAAATTAAAAAAAACAGGTTATTTAAAATAAAATTTTTTTTGTTAAAAAAATCAAATTTTTATGAAATATAACAATATATTGTAATTATTGTATACTACACGTTTTTTTGTTTTTAGTAAGTTATATTTTTTTAATAATACCTATGTACACTTAACATCGTTTTATTGAATATTTTAAATCAATTTTTCGTTTTTTCTTCAACCATTATTAATTTGTTATAAACACAAACTATATACTCGTATATACCAATATTGTCATATTTTATTTGAATTTTTTTAGACAACTATTTCTGTGTTCCTTCATATTATAGATATATAGTATACATATTTTGTTATTATTATTGCTAGACAGTAAACATTAATAAGTTTCATTAAGTAGAATGAAAGGAAAACATGAAATGAATTGCATTGTGTGCTAAATAATAATTATTTTAATGAGCATTGTTGTATATATTTATACATGTAAATATTTGTAAATTATACTACGTACTTGCACATATTTATGACCAGACAATTGTTTAAAATTAATACTATTCTAAGAGAAGGTCTTTTATTTCTATTGAATTACAAAATTTGCATTATTTATATTCGAACGCCTTAAAAGTAATAACTTTTTACAAATTAGTTCAACTGTTCAAACGATTTTGTAGCGAAATTTTCTTTTACTCGTACAATTATATACGAGTATTATTACAAATCAGTCTCGAACACGTATTTATTGGTTTGATTTTAACATATGTCTAGTCTTAAATTATGTATTCATCGACAATTTTGTGCATATTTGAAAAAATTCAAACATATTACTATTTTAAATTGAATTAAATATTAACATTAAAAACGATATTGTTTATAATTAAAATAGATTGCATATAATCTTTACTAGTGTACCGTTTATTATGTATGAACTATAAACAAATACTTAAAGAACTTATTTTTACAGTAAATAAATAAATAAATCGTAAATCCATCGTTATTATATATCCTATTTTAATTATATGTATATAGCAGATATTACCTATACTTATATCGTGAGAATACTTAGATTACTGATCATCAGGATTCAGATTTTGCAGTACTAAAAACAACTGAAATAAGCGCTTTATTATATGACCTAAAAGATCTTAAATAAAACATTATAAATTGCTCTAAAAACGTAAAAAAAAAAAAAAAAATAGCAAAAATGAAAAATTATTCTGTTCAAAATTTAAAAAAAATTGTATTTATTAAATTAATATTTATAAATTAAAATTTGTTTACTTTTTTTTAAACTACTTAAATTACCTAAATAAAACCATTGCAACTATTCATAATAACCTGGAAAGAAGAATAAAATTCAAGTAATTGCTATTTATTAATTAAATAATATTCTAAATTATTTTACCAGAGTTACACTTAATAATTTGCCAAATTTTCAAATTTGAAACTCTGACGGTTGTCAGTCAACAATGTCTTGTATGTTGAGAAGGAACACTCAACATCTATAGATATAATAGGCAAATACTTTAAA